CCACCACTCCAGGTTTTGTAGAAAAGCTCAGAAAGAAGGTGTGATCAGCAGCAGATGTGCACCTGCCTGGTGTACCTGTTCATGTCTTTTAGGCTCCTTCTGTGTTCCACTTGTTGACCTATGACCTCTGTTGTGTCTGACAGGTGTCGGCTTGGGGCGGCTACGTCTTCATCATCAACCTCATTCCTCTCCACGTGTTCGTCCTTTTGCTGATGCAACGCTTCAGTAAGAGAGTCTACATAGGTGAGCCCAGCCACCCCCGGTCCTAAACCCAGATCCTGCTAGTCACTTCCTGTTTATGGCAGCTTTAGCAGGATGACGCCCTTTAAGGCTCAGTAATCGTGGCCCGTCATCAGGTCCCAGAGCGGACCAGAACAGGACCAGCAGCTAAAGGGTTAGGGTTGGAGCCTCGCTGAGGTGGGGTAACGGGCTCGCTCTGGGTCTCCCAGTAGAGTAGCTAACTTAAGCTCCTCCCTCTGATTCAACAGGATAACCGGATTGGTTCAGGAGACTTTAGGTAATCATTTGAATGGAAGAGCCGGGCCACGCTGGCTCTGACCGGCAGCTTTTATGTCCGCTAGACGCTGAAGTCTGAGAGGACCCGGGTTAGACCCAGAGCCTTACCGGACCTTGGTACTGATGGTTTCTGTTCCTCCTACAGCTTACAGCACCTTCTACATTGTGGGTCTGGTCCTGTCCATGCAGATCCCCTTCGTGGGCTTCCAGCCAATCAGGACCAGTGAACACATGGCAGCAGCAGGTCAGTGACCAATCAGAGGGCAGCGGGAGGACTTGGCACTGATGTTTGACTTTATCTTTATTCCTGAAGCTCTGGTTAACGTCTGAGTGCAGCGGCAGGGCTGCACCCCTGACCCTGACCCTGATGGAGTCCGCCTCCTGAACCGAGTCTAACTGGGCTCTGTGGCGTTGTTGCAGGTGTGTTTGTTCTGATGCAGGTCTACGCCTTCCTGCTGTATCTGAAGGACAGACTGACCCGGCAGGAGTTCCAGACTCTGTTCTTCCTGGGGGTGTCTGTGGCTGCTGGGGTGGTGTTCCTGTCCGTCATCTACCTGACGTACACAGGTGAGCCCCGTTCTGCAGGTATGACATCACCCAGCTGCTGTTGGCCCACCGCCGCTCTGTCATAAAGCACAGAGCCGTTACTGGGCCGGAGGACAGAACCACTCCCGCCAGGAGAACCAACAACCCAAATGTTCTCAGCTCCATGTTGGCTCACAGCGGGATGAAACAGACGTCAGCTGCAGATTGTGTTTCTCCAGTGGGTCAGAGGGGTCAGAGGGGTCATGGGTCATGGTAGGGCTGGGCAGTAAATCATAAATGGATCGTTATCGAAATTTCTGACTTTTATAGGGATAATTTTTCCCATCTCAATAAATATGATCATAATGAAAAGACGTGTGCGGGTTGGCAGCATTCCCTTTAAGAAGCTGCACCACCGTCACGTGTGACAGCTCCCTCTAGTGGACAGCTCTTGTCTCCGCGCACACCTGTAGTTATCGCCCGTTTATCGTTATGGAGTTGAAATCCTCAGTATGTATCGCCATCTGGCCCAGCCCTAGCCACGGGTCAGAACACATCAGCGGGTGTTTGTGGATCTGGCTCTGAGACCAGGAAGTTCCAGAGAGGCTGATCTCAGATCAGATTCTACAGCTTTGACCTCCTGATGCCGGCGTGACCGTTGCTTGTGTGTGTCTCCAGGTTACATCGCTCCGTGGAGCGGACGCTTCTACTCCCTGTGGGACACCGGGTGAGTCCTGAGCCACAGATCCGGTTTCTTCCATCTTACTAATTCAGAAGGAAGTTTTGGGAAAAGTTCGTCTCAGAATCGGGTTTGTGGAGTCCTGAGAGGACCTTTCAGGGTTCTACGGGGTCAAGCTCCTCCGTGATGCTCCAACCCGAGCCCTCAGGTCCACAAACCAGAACCTTCTAGAAGTTCCAAAGACGTTACGATCATTTTATGATCGGTGTTGTTTTACTTTTGTGACGTTACTAAATGAGTTTGTTTTCTGTAAAAGTTGATGAAGTTTATGAAAGTGGGTTTTCTCTTGCTGAAGCTAACCTGGTCCTGCTGAATGATCAGAGCAGCTAAACAGCAGGCAGCAGATATGTCTCCCGCCTCCCTCTCGTGTCTGATCGCTCTCCTCCTGCTGGTCATCCTCAGCTATGCCAAGATCCACATTCCCATCATCGCATCTGTGTCGGAGCATCAGCCCACCACCTGGGTCTCCTTCTTCTTTGACCTGCACATCCTGGTCTGCACCTTCCCTGCAGGCCTCTGGTTCTGCATCAAGAACATCAACGATGAGCGCGTGTTTGGTAAGCACAGAAACCTTTCGGACTGTTAGCACTCTGCTAACAGCTGTTAGCAGAGTGCTAACAGCTGTTAGCCGGCGCTCTGGACTCCCTCCTGGGGTCGTGCACCGATCTTCTCCCTCAGCATCTCAGACAAGCGAGCTCGTCTTTAAGCAGCTTTCTACGTCCTGCACCTGTTAGCTTAATCTAGTTTAGTGTTTTTTGTTTACCTTGACACCGTTTCCTACGGGATTTCTCATGTCGGGTGTTTCTCATGACTGTTCAGCAGAAAGGGCTCCATAAATGGTCATTATTAATAGTCACCGTCACATGACCGTTGCTAAGTTACAACATGAACAAAGGTTCAGGTGAACGTTAACCTGCAGCAGCTTTTAGGTGTGAGACGGACTCAGCTGTGACCTCTGACCCTGCTCCCATCTGCAGTGGCCTTGTACGCCATCAGCGCCGTGTACTTTGCTGGAGTGATGGTGCGTTTGATGCTCACGCTGACTCCGGTGGTGTGCATGCTCTCGGCCGTGGCCTTCTCCAGCGTTTTCGAACACTACCTGGGAGACGACATGAAGAGGCAGAGCCCGCCTGCAGAGGACAGCGGCGACGAGGACGACAGGAAGAACGCCGGCAACCTTTACGATAAGGTCAGGGGTCAGCCACAGTCACTCATGCTGATTGGTCTCATCTCTTATTCACAGCAACATTTCTAGCAGGTCTGCAAAGAAAGTCTCATTTAATACAAAAAACTTTTCATCACTGGTTTTTAGTTTTTACTGTGATTAAACGTGTGCTTTACTCTCGACTCACCGTCAACGGTTCCATCCAAGCTCTGACGATTCAGTTCAGTTCAGTTTATTTCTAAAGCGCCAAATCAGGACGAGTCGTCTCGACGACCTTCACACAGTAAACACTACAGGTCAGGCCAGGGGCCGCATTCATCAAGCTAGCTTACGCACAAAACGGGGTCGGAAAACTGCGTAAGAAAACTTTCCAAACTTTGGGATTCATGAAAGAAAACTTAGCAGAAAAATGTGCGTAACTTTAAGTTGACTAAGGACCTGGCTTACACACCTGTTGGACATGGAGAGCACCTGCAGTGCTGCTGCTGAGAAGATACAGTTATGAAATCCTGCAGCATTATCACTTGTGCACACACACACACACACACACACACACACACACACACACACACACACACACACACACACACACACACACACACACACACACACACCAAGTAATGTGTCTACAGTTATATTGTGGTTTCTTAGTAAATATTCTATTACAGTAGGTGAGAGATAAACTTTATTGTATTTATCCTAGTGAATCTATAATTAAACGGGTAAACTAGTAGTAGCACATCCAACGTCAAGGAAACCAAAAAGTTATTATCAGGAGAGGGAGAATGTTTAAGTGGTTAGCAGCAGTGTGCTAGACGATGGCCCCCTCCATGAGGCCACCACAGCTCAGCAGAACATCGTTGTAGCTTCTTCTGGGGAGAAAAACACTTAGAGAGAAAATAAAGTTAACAGCTGAAATAGCAGGAAATAATACAGTTAAAGAGCAGATAGTAGAAGAAAGCAGTAGAGTGTGGAAAGTGGTCAGTGTGTCCTCCAGCAGTCTAAGCCTATAGCAGCATAACTACAGAGATAACTCTGGATAATCTATCCTATTTAGATGGAGGCATGTTGGAGGCAGGGCAAGGGAGAGCCATCTTTACCGACTGTACACTCCACCTCCCTCTACTCCCCCACTTGTCCAGATTTAGGCTAACATCAGATTTTAACTATAAGCCCTATCAAATAAAAATGTTTTAAGCCTATTCTTAAAAGTAGACAAAGTGTCTGCCTCACGGACTAAAGCTGGGAGCTGGTTCCACAGGAGAGGAGCCTGATAACTAAAAGATCTGCCTCCCATCCTATTTTTAGATATTCTGGGAACCACCAGTAGACCTGCAGTCTGAGAGCGAAGTGCTCGGTTAGGAACGTATGGAACAATCAGATTACTGATGTATGATGGACCTTGATTATTAAGAGCTTTATATGTGAGAAGAAGGATCTTAAAATCTATTCTGAATTTAACAGGTAGCCAATGTAGGGAAGCTAAGACAGGAGAGATATGATCTCTCTTTTTAATTCTCATCAGAACTCTAGCTGCAGCATTTTGGACAAGCTGAAGACTTTTAACTACATTCTGTGGACTTCCTGAGAGTAATGAATTACAGTAATAGTAATAGTGAGTAGTAAATAACCCTACCAAACCAGAGGTGTCGGTATGGTTGCAGTGTTTAGCAGCCTGACAGCAGATTGGAGCCCGTCCACTCCTGCCTCTCCAAACAGACCCACAAAAATAAGCTTTACACCCGCGGTCCCGGTGGGGGTCATTGGCCGGCCCACAAGCGTGAGTCTGAGCCCAACAGAACCCAGATCTGTTCTGACCTAAACTCAAGCAGCCAATCACTAAAGTAACCATCAGTGATGCTGGCAGGACAGGAGCTGCGTTGGAGACAGCAGCTGGAGCTGATGGACGAACAAATGATGAGAAGCTGTTGTACCCAATAGGGGATGAAAGTCAAAGCTTCTCTCTCTGCTATTCCTTTTGTCGGACCAGGATCTCCAGACTCAACACGGTTCTGATGGTTTCTTTGGTCCAGAAATCACCGGTACACATTATTA